TTATTAACTCAATATAGTTTTATCTTTTAGATTTAGTCAGAAAATTATTATTTTTTGTGCGCTGATACTGATTTTAGTGTGTTTTATCAATTGAATTGTGTATTTTTATCGGTTTAATATTAATTTGAGAAACATTTGCACAATTATCGCACGGCCTACAAATTTAGTATCACCATCTTTTTATTCTACCGGGCCTGCGCTTTCAGAAAATATATGGTTTGGGGGGTCTTTTACAAACGCTAGCGACCCAGCAGTTGAAAAGCAAATCAATAGGAAAAAAATGCAAAAAATGATAAATGGCTTGGCCAGCTGATTTGAAAAATGTTCCGGAGGACTTGGCAGCGAAAGGGTTAAAAAACACACTTAGATGTGCTACTTACTGATATGTTTTGTAAGACTGTATATGATTTTCAAAGATACTACTTTCTTAGTGTAATACGGAGATTGCACATGTTATGTAAGGCAGATACTGCCATTCTCAGTTAGGCCTGGTTCACACCTGGGCGTTTTACAGCGCATTCCTACATGCTGTAAAATGCTCGACATGTGAAAACCAATGATTGCCCATGGGCATGGTTCCCACCTGAGCGTTTTACAGCCCGTACAGCGCTGCAAAACGTCCTACGCCCAAAGAAGTACAGGAGCTTCTTTGGGGCATATTTGCCACGCGTATCCATTAGGATACAGCCGGATAGCCCTCGGAAACGCCTATTTGCCGCATTTTTTTACTGTGAATCACGGTAAAAATGTGCGGCACGAAACGCGCTGCAAACGCGCATATTCGGTACGCCTAGGTGTGAACCCAGCCTTAAGGAAATAGTGTAATAAGCAAACATCACTTTTTCAGTGCCAACAAAAATGAATCTGCAACAAAGTTTGCTAAAAAAAATCTTTGCAATGTTTAGAGTTTATCCATGTGGAATTGCTTTTTATTTCATTTTTACGATAATGGGTGGAAGGAGATTAATTATTTATACCCTTGTGGTCATCTCAGCATCCATATTACCCTTTTTATGGTACAGATAAAGGCTAGAATCTAAAACTTGTCTAGTTATGCTGGCTGCAAAATAACTGAATCACCATTGCAGAGTGTGTTATTACACAGTATTGCTCTCTTCCTGTTTGAATGTTTTACAGCTATGTTTTTAATCTAGTATTGTTAATTGAGAAAGCAATTTCATTGATTTTTTTCCTGTGTTAAAATGGTGAATTTGTACAAAAGCTGATGCTTTTATTTTGTAGAGAAAAACTAACATGTTTAAATAATGATCCAAGTACAAATTATGGTGGAATCAATAAATGGTGGTGCTAAATAATCGTCTGTAAAAATTTAAGGCAGTTGAAGCACAATGGTCCAAAAATGTAGATTTTTTTAATTTAGTAAATGCAAACAAAAGTCTAATTTTCAATATTTGTACACTATTACAAAGTTACAGTTGTTGCTCTTGTTGGGAAATATGAACAATATACATAGCAGTATAATTCTATTTTTTTCATACACAAAGTGAATCTACCCAAAACATACCCTTCATTATGGTCCTGCCTGGGTTTGGCTACACATACACTTTAAAGTAATTGTTTATGTAACGTTCCTATTTTTACATGTTGAACCACTTCAGGGCCGCCGTACATATACAACCTTGCTCCTGTGATGGGCAATAATTTTACATTTACTTTACTTATTTGTGTTGAAATTATAGTACATCACAGGAGTGAGCTTGGAGTGGCTACTTTACAACACACAGGGACCATGGGGAACAAAAGTAGCCACAAGGAAGGACAGTGTCAAATTCAGAATTGATTTGAGGATCTAAAACCAAGTGATACAGAGATTAGATATTTTTCTTAATGCTTGAATGCATTTTTAAGATTTAACTTCTGGTTATGTCACTTTAATTGTTCCGTATTTTCATTAATGTATTAAGTATAGCAATTTGCAGATAATCCACAAACATAAGTATCCACTGAGATATCTGCCAGACAGAGACTCCATTTTTTTCAATGATCTGGCTGACTCAAAGATTTGTACTATGAGAAAAAGCATTAAGCAGAGCTTTTGTGTAGTAACCTACAGGAGGAAACAGATCCTGCATATGTAATCAGCAAATGTAGTGGCCTTTTTGTACATAGATTCAATTATTAATTATCCAATATACAAATATTGCACACACATTAACAATATTTATACCAACCTGACCTCTTTTACACATACATCTAAAGATATTGAAATACTGTACATTTCCTTACATACAGTACATTGAATTGAAATCCTTCAGCTCACGTATACAGTAGGTACAGTAGCAAGAAGGGCATGAGATTTTTAGGGTATTTTCACTGTAGCATGTCTTCCTATTAGGGTCCCAGGAATATATATATATAACTTAACAACTAAAGTGAACTATGTACCCTTCATCAATTCTTCAAAAATTGTTATTACCCAGATTTCTTTGGAAAAGTTATATATATATA